ATCATAGTTTTTAAACGGTTATATTAACACATATCAACGACATAAGGTTATGTGTTACACGTGTACAAACAACAAGAGATGCAGGAATAATATTCTACATATAAGGGAGTTCAAATGAATAAGTGACAAGTATGAGGGGATTTAAGTATAATTTATCCATTTAATTTTAGACGGTAAACTAACTGTTGTTAGTTTCAGGTGTGTATTAATATAAATATTTATTTTTGAGGGTACAAATTAAGATTTTTAATCTTTGATTGTTTAAATTGAGATTCGAATGATTTTTCAGAATACAATTAAAGGTAAACCCTAACTTTTAATTTAGTCATTACATCAAAATTCACTGACATATCATGATGGAATGATCTTCTATGACCAACATGACTGTGTAAAGGATATATTTGCCTCATAAAAGTCTACTACGTGCAAACTATAAATTTTTATTTTATTTCATTAGAATTTGAGAAAAAAAAACAAACTTGGAAAAAAATACAAATTGAGAATTTGAGAGATTTTTTTATTAGATAAATATATTCTTATGGACAAATCAAGTGATGTCTTTTTGTTCTAATAAATTAATATATTTGAATAGAAGTATTAGATTGGAACTCGGTTAAAATTTTAGGAACGTAATTATATAAATTAAAATTTCAAGGACCAAATAAAAACTACTACAATGACACGAACCGTCCACGAACCATCACGTGTCGGACCGGGCATCACGTGTCGGACCGGGTCGGGACATAACCGGTTAAGCTGTCGGACCTTCGCGACACGTTACTGGTTGCCGACGTTTCACCTTAACACAAAACCTCCACGTTTACACCGTCAATTATAAAATGACAAAAATACCCCCATGATATTTCTCATATTCCTACCTCTAATTTCACTATTGTATGTATTCCGTTTTCTCTCTCCTCTTCGAACCTACGGAGAGAGAGAGAGAGAGAGAGAGAGAGAGAGTGTAATCGACTCTTTCAGTTTCAGAGAGTGCGAGAAGGGAGAGGGAGAGGGAGAGGGAGGGGGAGAGGGGCACAAAACTTCTGCATGCTATAAGTTAGCCCGTTCAATTGTTGTGAACTTAGGGTTTGTTTTATTAGAATCTTTTTTGTTTTCTTGAATTAGGGTTTCGGAATCTTTTACATATATATGTGTTTATGTATATATCCGGAAGCCATAATCTTTATCTAATTTTGTTTCTTGTATCTGAGCCTTTATGTTATAGGGCTCTGTTGGTTGAGAATCAAAATTTGTGTATATGTTGATGGCGGTAAAGATAGAGGACTAGGGTTTGTTTTGGTTTCTAATGGGGAGCACAGCTGAATCAGACCGAAAAAGACGTCACTTAAGCTCTATATCACCCACAGCTCTTGTTGCTGTTGCTAAAAAACAGCCCTCTGCTCCCTCATCTGAAGATAAAAAAGTATGGTTTTCCTCTTAACCTTTTGCAATTTTTCGAAATTCATGCTGTCTTTTGTGATTTCATGCACTGTGCATGACTTTGTGAACCTCCTTATTAGATTTACATAAGGATCAATACTAAGAACTATAACAATTTCTAACAATCCTGTCCTGGGTTTAATGAATTGTTTAAAATTATGGACATGCATTGTTGGTCTGTTGTAGTGTTAGTAGTGATACTGTTTTTGCAAGTTATTTGCATTGATTCTGATTTTTTAAGGGCATCGTATGTGAGTTGCCTTGATTTATATTTCCTGTTCTGTATTTCTTTTTCTGGTAGGATGGGGTTTACTATGTTTCCTTTCCTTACATTTTCTCCAATTGGACTACTTTATGTGGGATATGTGATCGCAACATACATGATAATGCTGTTAGTGAAGAGAATATTCTATTTAAGTGGTGGGGTTGACTTGTTATGTGGTGCTGGAGACTAATATCTTGCTGACATTTGTGAATTTGTTGTACTCATGTGGTATTATATCCATCATCATAGTCTTTTAAGCAAATAAATGGATCGATTGTTATTGTAGTTGCTGGGGAACTCAGCTGTGGGCTGAATTTTGGCTTGGAAGCTGGGAGGGAAATTATGGTAGGTTAGGGGAACCAACTTTTGATAAGCTCAAATGCCTTGTAAATTCATTAGGAACATGTCTTATAATATCTTCTTTAAGATTTTAAACAACATGAAGATTGTTTATGTTGGAGTGATATCATTGAAAAAATAGTTATAACTTCAGTCTACGTTTGGCATTAACCCAGGGAAAAGGAAAAATAGGAAGACTATTTGAATATTTGATATAATCAAACGGTCATTCTCGGAACCGTACCACTACTGACGCAAGATTACATTGTTATCGAAGGCTAATGTGTTGTGGAAAATTATTGAAAATATTGCTGGTTTTGGTGGAAGCTTGGTTGGCGTTGATGAAGCTCACTGTTGTCAACAAAAGAATAAAAAATTTGCTAGTGCTAATAACTAGTAGTTTTATCATTAAGTGGTAATGACAGTGAGATGAATTGTAACTTATGGTAGATACAACTTTTAATGCCCTTCGAAGAACATTATGATTTGTAGGTCATATTGGCTAATACTAATCTTAGTAAGAAAGCAACTTGTGGTCATTAATGTTTGTGACCTTAATGGATGATGTTTAGGCTTGGAAGGACGATCACTTTTTTTAGGCCAATGTGCCAATATCGAAACTGGGACACGTGTTGGACGTGTTAAAATGAGTGTTGGATGTTTTTAAATACTTGTTCTAGTACATGTTTTTGCATGCAGGGGACATGTGGAGAAAACGTTTTGGACACGTGACAGGTACACAAAGGAATCATTGTGTACACATTTTGGGGTTTTTAACAAATCTTTACAAATTAGGTAACTTAAAAAAAAAAGGAACTTATTTTGGTAATTCTATAGAGATATGGGCCAAAGTTGTGAAATGAAGATGGCTGTAATCTAGCTTTTATTAGGCCGTTCTCGGTCTCTTCTTAATTTTGTGAGATAGAGCAAGTATTGACCTAGCGGAAAGACGATTGAGAGGTTTTGTTGCTCGATTTCAAGTCTTATTGAACAGGAATTACGTTTACGAAATTGGGGTTTTTTGAATTTTTAATTGTAGTAAGTATCAAACGTTGGATCATGGATGTTTAGGATAAATCTATATTGATATGTTTGATATTTTATTTTTGTTCTTATGATTTTGTGATGTGAATTGTTTGGATTATTGAAGTTTGAAGTAAACGATTGTTTTCAAGAGATATTTACTGATATAGTCATGTGATTTAGTGGGATTGTTGCATTAATCACTTGATAGTTGATCTCTTGTGATTTGTCGATTTATTATTCCTAATTTGTTTGGAATTATTATATTTTATCGTGTGGTCATGGATACAAATAAATGTTTAATATTCATTGGGTCCCTTAATGTCAGTGTCTCACTTTTTTTGAAAAATTCCCTGTTGGCATGTCGTATTATTTCCATATCTGTATCTGTGCTTCTTAGTGTCAAGGTTCCGTGTTTCGGGAAGGTGTTCTTAGCATGTTTCCCTATTTTTGATGAGCCTTAACATGTGGAGGTGAGGATTAATGAATGTTGTCAAGATTTAATGGGTATTATGGGTGAGAGAACTGGTATATTGTTTGAAGAAGTGTTTTTGAATATTTTCCTAGCTGTTAAGTAATGCTAATCATTAAATAGTGTAACAAAATTTTTCTTGTTTCTAGAATCTTTTTGGGCAAAAGTAAGATTCACATGTTGTCATAATTTTTTTCTACCATTCTTATTCTTTCAAATTAAACTTCCAAGTACTGTATCAATTGGCAGCTTCAGGAACACAATGGTTTTGGATTCTGTTCTTGGTGGCGTTGGATGCGTATATTTGAGTCCGTTGGATGGTCTTATTAAAACCTGCTATAGGAGTGAGATTTGCTTGAGGCTCTTGCATGCCTAGCTCTTTTATTCATTTTATTTTGCACTCCTCAAAATCTTTGACTTGCATAATGATTCTGGTCATCGTCCACTTCAATTAGAAAAGAGTGGCCACTATGGACGAATGTTGTACTCCTCAAGTCTGATTTCTTATTTTAACAAACACATCGTGCTCTAGGTGTCTGGCGTTTTAGTTGTGGCAACCCTAGGTTTGAAGAATTTGATGACAGGCCTTTGCTGAAGTTAAAAACTGCTGAAATGACATATTTTGAGCCTGCAGCTCCTATCGAGTCCATGTATCTTTCAAAAGGGTTCTGAAGTTTTCTAGGTTAATATTTGAATTCAGAAGTGTGAATGTTTGCTTCTAAAGTGTTAGCGTTACTAAACAATAAGTTATTGTATTGCAATTATTTCCAGTATGGGGCCTTTGCGGAAGTTGTCACTGTGTTTGTTTCTTATGGGGTTTAATTTTGAATTATTGAGTTTGGATCAAGTTCGCATCAATTGTTTCTTCTGAAGCTACATACTGTTGGAGACAGGAGTTATTGCCTCCATCTTTAACAATATAGGACTATGATTTCTTGTCTTGGAAGTTGAAGCTGGATGACAATTAGTTTATGGCAGCTTTTTACTGTAGTGTGAAAGCAAAATGGTGAATAACATGTATACTTGTATGTATTTTATCAAACAAAAGTGATAACATAGGATGCCCCTCATATTAATCGTAGTTTATTTTGACAATTTTCCCAAAACTTGTCCAAAATGAGAAATTATGGGCATTGATGCTTAGAAATGATCTGTTCAGTAGAAGTCGTAGCTGGCTTTCCTCCCCTCTTGTTTGTTTTTTTTAGTCACATGTATTTATTGTTCAATTTTATTGACTTCTGGCGGAGTTTGTTTATATTTTTATTTTTGATGGTTTTTGGATATAATTTGATGGCCCTTTTTTCGTAAATATTATTTGTGACCTGTTTATAGCTGTATTGAGAACTTGTATGTGGACTTGGGGCAAGATTCACTAACTATTTACTGCCTGGAATCAGTCTTCATTACTGAGGGAAAGAAACGTTAGAAAAGACTATATATGGATGAGGGAATGCTCATCGCATGAGACCTGGGCTTTTCTTCCATTCATTTGTATTCTTGAAGCTTCTTTGCTTGATGGCATCGAGGGTGCCAGTGATTGGTTCTGGTTATGTAATGGTAGACTCTTGTGTTTTAACTATAATCGCTGCTGAATCGCTGATATTTAAGAGTATGTTGCCATAAGTGTTCTAATACTGCATTCACTTGGCTGGTCCTTAGCTTCAGATTACTGATGGTATTCTGTCTTTCCTTTTTTCTGTTCCCCAATGAGGTAGCTTGACACTGCAGTACTTCTATTTCAAAATCAAAAGCTTGTTCAAAAGTTAGAGGCTCAGAAGTTTGAGTGTGTTGCTCTTGAGAATAAATTTAGTCAGTTGAGGGAGAAACAGCAACAGTATGATAACACATTTGCAGTGGTCAATAAGTCTTGGGAAGAGGTAGCTGCCTTTTTTTTTAAATTTAATGTTCTCTAAAAATTTTTGGTGGGATGCATGCACTATCTTATCCTATTGATGGCAATTTTTCTCCATGTTTTTGCTAGCTGGTTGATGACTTGGTATCTTGTTCTATCCGTACAAAGGACTCATCATGCCTTGGGAAAGATGTTGGACACCGATTAATTACAGAAGGTGATTGTCTGCCTTATAGTTATGTTGTTTCATGTGTTTCTCTTCTGTATTTTGTGTTTTTTGATTTTTTGAAGTGCTTCATGCACAAGTACCTCAATTTGTGGTATGGATTGGGTTTGTTTCTCCATTAATGATAACATTGGCCGGGGCTTTTTATAATGGCCNGAAAGCAAAATGGTGAATAACATGTATACTTGTATGTATTTTATCAAACAAAAGTGATAACATAGGATGCCCCTCATATTAATCGTAGTTTATTTTGACAATTTTCCCAAAACTTGTCCAAAATGAGAAATTATGGGCATTGATGCTTAGAAATGATCTGTTCAGTAGAAGTCGTAGCTGGCTTTCCTCCCCTCTTGTTTGTTTTTTTTAGTCACATGTATTTATTGTTCAATTTTATTGACTTCTGGCGGAGTTTGTTTATATTTTTATTTTTGATGGTTTTTGGATATAATTTGATGGCCCTTTTTTCGTAAATATTATTTGTGACCTGTTTATAGCTGTATTGAGAACTTGTATGTGGACTTGGGGCAAGATTCACTAACTATTTACTGCCTGGAATCAGTCTTCATTACTGAGGGAAAGAAACGTTAGAAAAGACTATATATGGATGAGGGAATGCTCATCGCATGAGACCTGGGCTTTTCTTCCATTCATTTGTATTCTTGAAGCTTCTTTGCTTGATGGCATCGAGGGTGCCAGTGATTGGTTCTGGTTATGTAATGGTAGACTCTTGTGTTTTAACTATAATCGCTGCTGAATCGCTGATATTTAAGAGTATGTTGCCATAAGTGTTCTAATACTGCATTCACTTGGCTGGTCCTTAGCTTCAGATTACTGATGGTATTCTGTCTTTCCTTTTTTCTGTTCCCCAATGAGGTAGCTTGACACTGCAGTACTTCTATTTCAAAATCAAAAGCTTGTTCAAAAGTTAGAGGCTCAGAAGTTTGAGTGTGTTGCTCTTGAGAATAAATTTAGTCAGTTGAGGGAGAAACAGCAACAGTATGATAACACATTTGCAGTGGTCAATAAGTCTTGGGAAGAGGTAGCTGCCTTTTTTTTTAAATTTAATGTTCTCTAAAAATTTTTGGTGGGATGCATGCACTATCTTATCCTATTGATGGCAATTTTTCTCCATGTTTTTGCTAGCTGGTTGATGACTTGGTATCTTGTTCTATCCGTACAAAGGACTCATCATGCCTTGGGAAAGATGTTGGACACCGATTAATTACAGAAGGTGATTGTCTGCCTTATAGTTATGTTGTTTCATGTGTTTCTCTTCTGTATTTTGTGTTTTTTGATTTTTTGAAGTGCTTCATGCACAAGTACCTCAATTTGTGGTATGGATTGGGTTTGTTTCTCCATTAATGATAACATTGGCCGGGGCTTTTTATAATGGCCTATTAGTTTTGGCTGACTAAGTGCCACCCCTACCTGCTTCTTTTTTTTTTTTTTTTATAAATTTGGTGATGCATTATATTATACTTTTGAGCAAAATCCAAATTTTTTTTTCTTCAAAACTATACTTGGGTTGGTATTTAATATTTTTTTTTATTGTAATTTTTGGAATTGATATTTCATATGGATTGAGGTTGGATTCAATAATTTTGTATGTTTGGGAGTTCGGGTGTCTGTGGGAATTGTAAGTCCAAGAAGCTTGCAAGTCCCAAGAAGCTTGTGAGACGAGCAACCAAATTTCTCTGAATTAATTGTCAGGCTGTATATGTATTTGTACCTACACCATGTGCCTTTTTTCTGGTGAAATAAGCCATTAATGCTTTTATTCTCTGATATCTCGTTTCCTCCCCTCTGCTTCTTCATGGTTGTGGGATGTCTGTTGTTCTTCATTGTTCTTCTTTGACTTGGTAGCGTTCTGTTGACCTAGAATTTTCAACTGTACAAAATGTAATTGCTAATTCAGTTTTCGAAATTTGATCTCAGATGGTTCTTCGTCTCTCCAGGAGGATGCTTTTCTAAGCCGACTTCTTGAAACAGGTGCAACTGAAAGTACCTGTACTAGCAACTCTCTCAATCAGATAGAAGAAGAGAGACAAGAAGCTGGTGAAAAGACCAAAAACTTATTGCATAACATAGTAGCTGCCATTGATGACCTGTGGTGTTTGAAGGATGGATTGTACACTGCAGTTTTGAAGGCACGTCCAGAAGATTGTAAGACTACTGGGATAGGTGATTTTGTATAATATCTGTTCCAAGCATATTGCTTTTTAAGTTTTTTCCTCAGATTTTTGTGGGTTCGGCTCTTCTCTTTCTAGGTTCCTGCAGGGAAAGGACATCTATGGATTTAGAGGTGGAAGTTAGGAATCTGAGATTGGCAATTGGTAATATTCATTTGAAGCACAAATCATTGGTAAGGGAAATGCAGATTGCTCGAGATACTGATGCGAAAAATAAAGCTGATCTTGAGCGTTTGAGAGGTAACTTCCTACCTGTCGCCAAGATAAATGCTGATTTACATAATAGGGAATCACATAATTTGTATCTAATAGTCAGATTGTTTCAGATGATGGCCTATATAGTGTGGGATCATGTAATATGATGCGATTTATTAATTTATTTAATTTGATAGGAAGATGTGATTAATCTATCATAGAATCTGGTTTTCCTAATTGTGCTCGAGTGAATCTTAGTCTCTGTTGCCAGTTGCTAAGTTGAGAGTAGAGAGGGGTGAGCTTAAGGGTTTGGTGAACTTTTTGTAGAAGAGCATTGATTATATTTGCTTGGGAATTGCTAAGTTCCTTGAAGGGCATTGGTTACTTTGTATGGGTGCATCATTATCCTTGTCATTTATTATGCTTAGAAGCTGAAGGCTTGATGCGGGTTGGTGCATTTGGTTTCACCTTAGCATGTGCTTCAAGCCTATAATTCTCGGGCCTAGAAACTCTACAAGTCAGTAGTTTAAGGTAAGCTCAAGTAAAACAACAAAAACGTAACTTGGCTGTAACTTTGCTTGTGTATGTGTCCGGAAAGTATTTATCATATAACATGGGTTCAGTTTTGTCCTGGATGTTATATTTATAGTTTTTTTTTGAATGTGTGGATGTATAGGAGTGAAGTTAATATGTAAAGTTAATTTTGGTTTTCTTACAAATTTAACTGGAAAGTTTATGACCAAAGAGAAAGAAATCAGTAGGGAAGTTGAGATGTGAATTAAATAATTGCTGTTAAATTTCATCAGCTTTCAATTGTCCAGACGGTTCCAGCATTCTGTTTTTGTTATGATGAGTTATGTGTGAGTCAGGACTTGATTGATCAGGGTACTGTTTGCAAGTGTGTTGGTTCATACCTTCGTATAGGTGCTCTTGTTTTATTACTTCATGTCTGTGTTTGATGCTATCCTTTTTCCAGGTCGGAGATTTGTTAACATTGTAATGTCTCATTAAGATTTGGAAGTCCTTATGGTAAATCCTGTGGGATGGAAGCATTATTCAAGTTCTTCTTTTCACATATGTGACAAGGATCCAGTCACCTTGCATAATCTTTTTTTTTTGGGCACCATATCGCCATCATATGTCTCTGTGCAATGATGTGATCCTTTAAGGATAATCCTGTGGCATGGTCTTGAATTTTGTTTTGTATGGAAACATCTTTGCATTTAAAATATCGATTTTGATACATTTGAAGACCATTTGACATATCACAGCAGCCTTCTCCACTTCCTCTCTGGACTTAAAAAATTTGTTGCTTTATGCATCATGAATTAAGAAAGTTCAAAATGCTGTTGTTTGACTTCTCTATCCATGAACTTCATGTGGTAGTATTCAATGGAGCATTTCTTTTGAAGTGTGCAGATCCAGAAATAAATAGACTCTTGCTAGACATTCTTCAGTTGCAGTGAAGTTTTTGCATGCTTCTCTTCTCTCTCTAAAGCTTAATGTGGATATCATGTTCTGAAAATTGCAGACATGGCCAAAAGGTCAATAAAAAGGTGACTGTTATCTTTTGGTTGTTTTCTTGAAGGGGAATTGGAAAATACGCTTGCAGAATTGGAAGAGAGTAATTGTAAATTGGCAACTCTAAAAGCGGAGGGGGATGTTGCAAAAGGGGCATTTTTCCCTGTCCTAAATCTGGTGGGGAGCAAGAATGTTGCTAGTGAGAGGACAATTGATAAAGAAAAAGATTTGCAAGATATGAAGTCTGCACTAAAGGAGTTGTTGGTAATTGCATTTTGTTTTACTTTGATGCATTTTTTATAAATTCAGGCTGGTTATATTCAGTGGCTTGTGTTCCTGCGTAGGACCAATCCTGTAGTCGACTATTTGAACTCAAGAGTCTCCATGAAGAAAGGATAGAAATATTGAGGCAGTTGTGCAAGTTGCAGGTTGACTTCTTGATTTTTCTGTTTCCATCTTATAATTACTACTTTTGTTCACGTTCAGAATGTCTTCCTTGTCAAATCTCATGTACTCACTGGTGGATGTTTCTGATGGGAATGCTTCCTTGACAGAATACTTTGAAGAATGTGAAGTGTATATCCTCTTCCCAAGCCTACGTCTTGGTAAGAGATCAACTTGTGAAGGCAAAAGCAGATGTAGTCCAGTATCAAGCGCTATTTGAGAAACTACAGGTTGTAACTGGTTGGTAGTTTCATTTATGCCTTTGTGTATCTTGCATTGTCCAATTCTAATGCTGATTGATCTTCTGTTGAAATTGCAGTTCGAGAAAGATAACCTTGCCTGGAGGGAAAAAGAAATGATCCTGAAAAATGATTTACTTGACGTCTTTCATCGATGTTCTGCAGTTGATGATTCTAGAATAGCTGAGCTGGGAATAGAGTTACAGAAACGAATTAATGAAAGAAATCTGATTGAATCTAAGCTGGAAGAAGCATCAAAAGAACGTGGTATTAAGATGCTGAAATATTCAATATTCAATCTATGTAGGCTCTCTCTGTATGATTTAATATGCTGAAATCTTGTTGTACATATTGTTTATTTTAGGCAGGAAAGAAATTATTGCAGAGTTCAAGGCTTTAGTTTCTTCATTTCCTGAGGAAATGAGCAGCATGCAGAGTCAACTAAGTAACTACAAGGACGCTGCTGCAGACGTTCATTCTCTGCGGGCTGATGTTCGATCTCTTTCCTGTGTTCTTGATCGTAAGGTGGTGTGTCCTTGATATACGTGCTGGCCTATTCTTTGATGCACTTGAAGGGTTGAACCCTCAGCTTTTGTTTATACAGGCTAAAGACTTAGAAGCCTTATCTGCTAGATCAGCGGACCAAATTACTGAAATGCAGAAGTTGCAGGCTGTGGTAAGATATGTTTTTAATTACTTTTTGAAGCTAAAGGGTAGCAATTATAGCAGGGATGCAACATACTGTTGTTGAGCCATATGAACTTTGTGTGACTTCTGCATTCTGATCAAGTATAGAACAGTCCTAGGTCTACAATGCTTACACATTTCTGAGCATGCTTCTTAGCTCTGTCTTCGAACTAGAATTGTATAGCCATCTCTCTCCTTGCTGTGCCTCGATGTATATTTCATTCCGATTGGACGTACATTCTTAAGTGGAACAGTTATCCAAATTGTAGTAAGGTGGTCATTTATTTCTCCAATTGCATTATGACTCCATGCTCTTTTAAATTGTCACTTTTGTGATGAATTAACAAAATGGTGATCAAGAGTACATCTAAGGGAGGGATAGAGGGCCCAAGGAGGATTAATAATGAAATCTAATCAAGCTTTGAAAATTATTGTTTCAGTAGGTCTGTATGCGAATGATAACTAAGTGCTTGATCAGGGTGATGTGGGTTACTGAGTGTTGTGTTTCCATTGGCTAGTGCTGCCATTCACTAACCTTTGCAATCTGCATTTTAGAATATGCAGCTTGAGGCAGCAACTTTTTTATATTTAAAAGTTTGAGGTTGTGTTGGCATAACTTCTCAAAATAGAAGTCCATCTTAGTGATGGACTCACGTAATGGGCTTCGAAAACATACAAAATGGTTGGTGAACATGCAACTGACATCAAAATCATGCTTTATCCAATAATTAGAGCCGTTCACACCGGGAGGAGAATGGTTATGGTATTTTCAGACTTCTCTTTAAGCCACTTTTCATGGCTCAACCAATACGGCTTCTTTACCGTCCCATTTGCAGCACTGATTTCTAGATGCCTCGGTAATGCAAGTTGTTCGCGTGGTGCCTTCCCTTTGTTGGATTGCGTTCCTTCTGCGTTGCACAAGCCATATTTGAGAGAAAGTTTGCCTTTTTTTTGTTGTTTTATATGTAGAGGAGATGGTGAAAATTAATTGTGCTACAGGGTTAGAAAAGATTATGTCCTAGAAATATGGGGGTAATAATGGAATGCAGTCAAAATTAGTTGAATGAGATGACCAACTTTGCAAGAAGTAAAAACATGTAGTTTAGAGAAGCTCGGTAAGTTAGCTTCTGCGGATGTGTGTTTTGGGATGGCACTTGTTCCTCAGAAGTTGGAAGTGTCCATCCACCAAATAGCCAGTGATTTCCTAAATGGACTTTTTGGCCCAAGAAGCCCCTCCATGAGCCATGTCGAATGTACACTCCATTTTCTACCATCATGGATTTCTTCTTGAATTTTCTATAGGTTTTTCTTATGGGAGGAAATACAAGAAACAATAATCATATGCGATAGGACCAAGTTTTGTGGGCAAAATGGGCAACTGGTTTGACAAGCTAGCAGCCAAACACAATAGAAATAGGTGGTGTTACCTCATTAGTAGATTTTGGGCATGGTTTTGATGTGAGCTTATTAGCGGTTTGCTTCTTTTGTACTTTTGGTGTACCTGGCTTGCAACTGCTTTTGTATGTGTTTGTTAATAGAAAAGGAAAAATACATTGACTTCTAGACGGCAGAGACTATAGTTAATGGATTATTTTCTATCTCTCACCGAATACAAATTATGTGTACTCAATGAGGAGAAAGCTGGTTTTTATTTTGAACCACCATTTGGGTGGCAAACTTTGAAATATGGTGTAATATTTTGTGTCGTGGGAACTTTGCAAGGCGATGATCCATCATAGAAGTACTCCTTATTTCCACACAGCAGAACTACTCGTTTTCCTGATCATAGATATGACTCTGTTTTTTCCTCTGTGCCTATTACACTGACGATTTCTTAGAGTAAGATTTCTGTTTTATGGTGAAAGATTTGGATAAAATTCAGTTAACCCTTTTCAATTGTGATTCTCTTGGCCGTTATACATTTTTGAGTTCCCATAGCATCCTAGATTTGCTAGTCACGTGGTGCAGAGTATTGAAGAGCCAGCTGCCTATTTGACGACCACGATATAAGAATTTTGTTTTTAAGATTGTGACACGTGTCTGGGAGTGTTTGAGAAAGTGGGCGTCTCTTTCTTGTTCACTTCCTTGTTCCAAACAATTTTTTCTTTTGTATTTGAAATAAGGGAGGCAGATGGAGTTGTTGACGCATAATGGTTCTGGTTTATCTTTCTTGGTGCAGGTCCATGATTTGAAGGAGAGTGATTTGGAATTGAAGCTCATTCTCGAAATGTATAAACGTGAATCCACTGATTCAAGGTTCGTAGCTAGACAAGATACTTTTTTTGGTATTTAAGGAAATTTTATAAAATAGTACAGAATTTGTGATCATTATTTTCTTTGTTCCTCATTTGGATTTCTGGGTATCCACAGGAGTGATGAATTTATATGTCAATGGTCCATTATGTGGAATGTATTTAGGAGGAGGATGTAACTTCTACTCTTTTCCACCAATCTTTCGCCAAATAAAGTAACCAGAATTCTCAAAATTTTAAACGACGAAAAGCAAGTTTCACAAAAAAAAGCTAGAGTGATGTAGTTGATCCAAAATGTTATCTTACTGAAGGGGGTGAAGTTTAAGGACGAGCAATTAATACATTAACATCTTACCTGTTTAGCATTGCTCTCCCAATCCTTCTTTTAAAGTTTGAGTAATAGTCAAGAATGACCATTTAATTTATAATGAGCATGGCACAAAAAATTGAGAACTTTACTTTCAACTTTGGCAATTGGACTGGACTAGTTTTGGACAAACAAAAAGTGGAGTGCCACACATTTTGGGATGAAGGAATGAATCTTCTTCTAAAGCTTGAGTCAGAAAATTTCATTTGGGACCCAACTTCTCTTATTAGTGGAAGGAGGATGTTTTTTGTGGAGGATCTCATGGTCATGATGAGTTGTACATCAAGAATTTTAAGAAAAACCTTTTCAACTAAAAGTTTAATGCATTTGATATGATGTAGTTTGCATGTAATGCAGTAATTGGTCTTTTTCTTAAATGCAAAGCTATTTTAAGTTGCGCTCCTTCTAATTCAAGGCTTTCTTGGATGACCCTTTTGTAAGAAAATGTCCTAGTTTGATTCTGAAAAGTTTGGGCATTTTAGCTTTTGCAGTTCCTTCAGTTTTTTATTTTAGTTTCAAAATTTGAAGCACCTATCTAGAAACTCCCATTAGTTATCCGTTAAAAGAATGAAATGATTTTAACAATTTTACAAAAGTGGCATAGAGTGGGTGATGCTAAGGCCAGTAAAAGCAATCCCATGCATACAGATGGGGACTAATATCAAGAAGGGACTCCGTGAACTGTTGAATTCAGCCCTGCTGCCTTAATTGAAGCATTTTTGAGGGCAGAAATATGATCTCTTTTGACATAAATCGCATTATAAGCTCCAATATTTGTTACTTGGCTTCTTTCCTTTTAGCATAAGGAGGTCTTCTTGGGATCTATAGCCTTAATTTTCTGAGAGAGTTCTACTGGAATCCTGTGTCCACATTGTGTTGTGAGTTCCATTTCACTTTATGGTACAAGGGTTGCACCCTTTTGTAGGCACCTTGGATGATAGTTCACTTATCAACCTTGGAAGAAAAGGATTTAACACTTGGGAGTAGGTGTGACTGGCTTTCTGGTGTATATGAGTTTTGGGTAATAGGGTTTGGAGGAAGTTGTTGAAAAACTTTTTGAAGAACATAGCTGATGCTGTCAAAAAATGTGCCTTTATTAAATGATTATTTTCCTTAGGTGTCCTTCCTTTCCCTTTCTTTATTTCTTTTGTTGTTTTAAAGAATTTGTTGGGCTGCTTGGATTGACTCTGAAGCAGGCTTGTTTTCCTTTAAGAAATCACGTCTTCCAAGTGCTTGGGGTAACTTCGATCTGCATTTTGTGCTATCTCAGGAGGCGTGAATCTTTCAGTGGTACATGTAGGCTTGCCCCAACCTTGCGAATTTGCTTTAGTTCTGTCTGTATCCAAATTTAGGCCCTTCCTTTGTGGATGTTATCTTTAGATAAATACTTGATGATATTTGTCTTCGATTGAGGATAGTTGTTTATTTTAACCAGGCATATGGTGTGAAAGATGATCTTAGATATGTAACCACTTGATGCTAGACTGCTTGTTTTAGTATTGCATCATTCAAGATTTATGAGACACCTTCTAGCTCAGTCCGTGCTAAGTTGGTAGTTTTGTTTCTTCATGCCAAGTAGCTAGCTAGTTGTGTTTCTTTTATTCTTCTTCTTCCTCCTCCTCCTCCTCCTCCTCCATGTGGCAGCAGTTCCCGATTCACCATTCTGGATGAGTTTTTGTCAAGTCATTGCAAATTAGTTTGAGAAACGTATGGGCTGTTTCTTTTTTGACCCAAGGATTGGATATTTGATTGAGCCCATAGGGGAGTGGGTATTATAAATTGCAGTCTCATGCATAGTTTGTATACCTTACTTTTATTAGTTCAAATTGGGATTATTTATGGGAGATGGACTGATTTGTTTGCAATAAGACCGTCATATATGATACATTATGCCAAAACTGATACGATAGGAGCAAGAATGGAAATTCTGTTTGGCAACTTTTCGGTTTCCATGGACTCTTAAAATGAACCAGTTGGAGTGTTGAAATTCCTTTGTTTCGAGATGTTCGTTTGGATGTTTTGGCCAATTCTTCAAAAGGTTTTGGAAACAGGTTTTCAGTTTTCTGTTGTTTATGAAACATGTTTTCAATCGTTCTTTTTTAAGCTGATTGAGATTATACAGCAAAAGGAAATTTTAGTCCCTCGTAGAAGATACTTTTCTGAGGTATCAAAGCCTTCTCCATTGGTCCTTTGCTAGAATGTGTTCTTTTGAGGGGATAAGTAGATGTATGTGGAACCAATGAATAGGTGCTTTGACGAAATATTGACTAATGTGAAAAGACACACAAAGCTTTAAACTTGAGATAAGGCATACATAGTTGTCAAATTGCGTATCGGAAGACATATCCGTTTTTTAAAGATAGTGTATTGTATCGTGTATAATAAGATATGTTCAATTTTAAATAATTGTTAATAAAATATATCTATACCTTTGTAAAAAAGTCTTAGACTCATAATAATATAGCATTTCATTAATATTCCAACAACTATTCAAGTTCCCAATAGAGTTCAGTAATATCAAAATAAAAAGAACTTTAATTCAAACTTCTAACATCTACTGCTTGAACAACCTAAATATTAATCAAGAATTTTGAATTCAGTTGAACAATATTAACAACAGACTTTATTTCCTTTTTTAAACCATAACCACTGAAACAACACTATTTCATTAGTTAGTGATTTAAAAATAAGTCCTGAAGTGAAATAATGTCATTTCAGCCCCAAAAATCCAAAAAAAAAAAAAAAAAACGGAATCTTCACGTATCGTACAATACTAATAACTATGAAGGCATATATATTTCCAGCCATATATGTTACTTTTGTTCTTTGATGATGCAAGACCACTTGATTATCATGTTCCCTTTGATCAATGAATGATGAACTAGTCTCTCTTCTATGTTGATTTGGGAAAAAAATGTTTTCCAAGTAATCTTGATGACTGCAGGGATGTCCTAGAAGCTAGGAATTCTGAATATAAGGCTTGGGCTCGTGTTCAGAGTCTGAAGTTTTCTCTTGACGAGCACAACTTGGAAGTGCGAGTTAAAACAGCAATAGAGGCTGAGGCCATATCCCAGCAAAGGCTAGCTGCTGCAGAAGCTGAAATTGCAGACCTGAGGCAGAAGTTGGAAAATTCCAAAAGGTTTGTTTTAATGTTATATAGTGTTGGTTCAGAGGCTATTGTGATCTGTTTTCATTAACTGAAATTTTTTGTGGTGCCTTTTACGCCCAACCCCCCTCTCTTTTTCCATCAGTACAAGGTGAAACCTGACCTGTGATCCTATATACTGTGCAGTAGCTCAAGAAAATATAATATCATAATCAATAATTTTGCCATTGTACCTAAGGAGAAATTAAACATTTTTAACTGCTATAATATGGTTTCCCAGTATACTAAGTGCTGGAACTTAGCAAGATGCATGATTTGATATGCCGAGTGACCTCTGAAATTTCTTGGGAGTTATGATCTTTTGCTGAAGTTTTATTGCTTTACTGTGGTGTTTTAGCTTGTACTTGATATATGTTGACTGTTTCATTTGTCTTTCATATAGATGCGAACCTCATATAGTTACTGGGCATGCCATTTTATTTTCAGCTACTTAAATTGTCCTGGGAGTTAGAGAATTCTTGAAACCTGTCATTTTTTTAATTATTATCTTGATCGGAGGGTAAAAAACGTGACAGTTGATTTGCTTATATTTCAGGGAGAAGTCCCGACTTTCGGATGTCTTGAAATCCAAAAGTGAGGAAAATGAGGCCTACACATCAGAGATAGAAGTGAGTTCTGTGCTAAATTATATGGATGGGTATCTCTTGAATGCATATATGAACAACGGCTAAGCTTATTGTTGTTGTCTGTCTTAAGACTATTGGGCAGGCATATGATGATATGCAAACTCAGAACCAGCAGCTTTTGCAGCAAGTCACAGAGAGGGATGACTATAACATCAAGGTAGTTGCAAAACAACACCTTGTTATGTTTATGTTCCTTTTCTTTGTGCCTCTACAACCATTTTTTTGAGTTACTGAACTGCTTGTGAAGTAGAGGTTTTTTGGCCTTTTTTACCATGATATTTTTTTTATAGGTCCGAAATAAATGAATATGGCAATCCAGCCCAAAACCAATGTGGGTGGAGAGGTCCTTCTATGATATAAACCAATATTAGGCCACTCTAATTTGTTGTTGTGGGATACAAGGCTTACAAGCTCTCCTAGCGCCAAGTTCACACACTGATAGATAAGGAACAAATGACCTGATCTGAACATTAAAGAAGCCTCTTAAATACGTTAAGAGACCCAATTCCTCCTATTTTTTCATTTTTACCCTAAATTTAGGTGCCTTAAGCCTGATCTATTTTGGATTCTGGCCAACTTCAGTTTCTTTTCATCTTGCTAGCTTTGGTTCATTTACTCTGCTAGTAGACTATGAGGACATTGTGTTATTGCTCACTGGTTTTACACGTAGCATTATTAGTCTTTCTTGGTTGATGCTAAGCTACTCTGAGGACTCTTTCATCTTCCTTAATGGTGCTACCTTTCAGTTTATGCAGCTCATTTAGTTTGATCAACTTTCGTTTATGTTTTTGTCATGTTTTGATCTGTAATATTTGTTCAATTTATGATGTAAACTTTTGTGTTTGATAAGAAACAAGACTTTTATTTCATTAAAATAAAGGAATACAAATGGTGGATAAGATATCCAACCTAAAAATGCAAAGAAAAAACAATTAAAATTCTAGCAATTGCACATGGCAATCCAATTATGTTGTTGTAAAAAAAGGAGGAAAATCATGAATCTCTTCATTACCACTGGCCTAAAGAGAAGCCAAAAATTGAACTTTACCCAACAAAATCTCTGCCTCTTCATCTTCTCCTTCAAAATTGTAGTACATTCAATCCATACCACCCCCCAAAAAAGCCATAACAGCACATCCCACCAAGTAGTAGCCCTTTTCCTTTTTCCCAGACCATGTGGACATTCCACATGGATGTACAATTTTGTGAAATGACCCGGTCCAAAACCCCCTCCCAAAATAAATTATGCCATAGAAATGTCGCCACTCGACAATATAGAAATAAATGGTCAATACTCTCCCCGCCTTCCCTACACATTACACACCATTGAGGAGACAGAAAATAATGGGGCCTTCATTTTTTGCGATAGGTCACAATTATTCACTTTGCCAGACACGATCAACCAAACAAGAATTTGCACCATAGTTATCAAAATTGTACAATTCACTATTTGATTTGTATGATTTGGTTTGATACAAGTACAAAACGATTCGTCTCTTATATGAGAATTGTTTGAGCTGAATCGTACCTGAATCGTGCTATTTGTACAATTCAATTCGTATTTCACAAATCGCACAATTCAATCACTTTTTTTTAAAACTCAATTTTTTAGCAAAACGACGTCGTTTTGTCCGCTAAACAGTAAAACGACGTCGTTTTGTTTACAAAAAAACCCTAATAAAAACTCAACCTCTTTGCTCGTTTTATCTCTGACGTCGTCTAAAGTTCGCTTTACATTGTCTAAATTAAGGTTACAGCTAACGCTCTCGCATTATCGGTTGATTTTTGCTTTCAACTATTTCATTAGTAGTTAGGTTCTAATTTTTTGTTTCAAAATGTTGGTTTGCATGTTTTCTCGTCATTAATTTTTTTATTTGTCCTTTTTTCATTCATGCTTGTAATCTAATTTTTATGCTGGGTATCACTGTTTTGGTTCTTAAATAGTTATGGTTCTTTAATGATTTTTTTTTCAAGTTGTTGAATTTGAAAATAGTTAAACAAAAGATGAAAATGAAGCAAAAAGTTAGCATCTTTCCATTTAGACGACGTGATTTTGTCAATTGATTATTTTTAGAATGTAATAATGTTTAATATTCAATATTTTGTCTATTTTAAATATATAGTATTATTTTTTATTTTTGTTTAAATTTTGTGTCGAATCTTACGATTCACGATTCTAAAATTTAGGATTTCGATTCACGATACGAGTTGCAATTTGACAACTATGATTTGCACCTTCACACCTCACGGGCCCCATGAACCTCCAAATCATCTTGTAAAGTTCATTGATCCAATGCGAGGATCAAAATTTCTTTTCGAAACGATTGAAACATCTAAAACTTTTCTGTTTTCAAGGTGATCGAAACGAATTAGTATGGAATTGAAATTCTAATATTTTGAGATGTTTCATAATATTTTGAAGTGTTTAGTAATATTTTAATGTATTTGCACAATTATTTTGGAATGTTTTAGGGTATTTCAAGATACTTTGGTATTTTTTGACCAATGATTTGGGAAAAATAATTCTTGAATTTTTATTTTTTTATTTTATTTTTGAAATGAGTTGAAACGTTCCGTTTCTTAGGTTATCGAAACAATGCATCGAATTTTTTTTTTGATCCTTGATCCAAAGACACTAAATTAATCAACAAGAGTAGGGATGAAATATTTGAACCTTCCATGTCATTCATTTTTTTTTTAGAAAAATTAAAATTCCTACCATGAATAAGGCAAGAACATAATAATTATGTGAATAAAACAATCTAAGAAGACAAGGAAATAACAATTTGAAATTTGACTCTCATATCCAAACATTCTCTGAAAAACTTATATACTCCTCATTTCCCACCCTCAATCTAACATGATCAATATACTCGATCCTTGAGAAGAAAATTTTCAAGGACTCTGAAAAGAGTCTCTCCTCACCACAAGATGTCAAAGTGAACCATTTTCTAAGGAAAATTTCCTCAACTACTTTGTTAACAATGCCACATTTCTTTTCACTAAATTACCCATCAGCGATTCCCTTTTCTTCTTTGATCTTGACACAATTTTTCACCAACCCAAAATGCCTCTCTTCCCTTTTTCACTCCTTTCTCATAAAATGTTGTTCATCATCTTCTTAGCCATTTTAGCAACCTTCACATGGATGTTAAAAAGAGACCTAAAATAAGTTACCGAGAATAGATTAAACTATACTAAGCCTCTCACCCCTGGGTAAACAACCCTTTTTTCAATCATTCAAATTTCTTTTGCACTCTCAAAATAATAGGGTTCCAAAAATTCAAGGATAATGGATTAGTCCCCAATGAAAGCCCCAAATCTTTCAATGACCACTCACTCACAACACACCCCAAACCATTACATTACCCAAGCCGTCTAACTTACACCTAGGTGAATTAATCCCTACAACTAACTTTTTAGCCATGTTCACCCCAAACCAGATACCAAACTAAACGTACTCGCAATGTCCACTAGATTTTGGAATTTTTGTTCATCACACGGGAGGAAAAAATTAGTGTCATCAGTAGATTGTAAATGGGTAACACTAATCCTTTCATTACCAACTTCAAAACCCTAAACTAGATTAAAATCCTCCCTATATACACCAAGCACCCATCAACCACCAAAGTGAAAAGGAAGGAGAAAGCGTCTCTCCTTGCCTTGAACCCCTAGGTGCATCAAATCCACCCTGTGATCTATCATTAATCACAACTAAAAAAATCATTAGATTATAAATACCCCATAATCCACTTCATTCATCTACTTCCAAATCTTTTCATTTCTAAAACAAAAAAAAATTCTATTTCACAGGATCACGAGCCTTTTAAAAAGTATCATCTCATTGCCCTTTAGGACTCATTTGGTTGCTGTATTCCTTAAAAAAGGGATTGGATGAGTAATTCTGTAGTGGTGGATAAAATAGAAGATTAAGTAGAGGACAAATAATGCTTTCTATTCTATCCTGCCTTTGTTAAAATGCATCGAATTATGAACTTGATAACATTTATCTTGTCTAACATTTTGTTTTTTTGGTCTAAGAGTCTTCTGGTATTAATGTCACATTAGCTAAAATACCCTCAGTTTATCCAGTCTAATTTTTTTATTGTTATTTTACTTAAAACAAGATCTATTTAATAAACTTCACTTCACAACCAAAAGTCTCATTAACACTAACATAATAAAGAACTTTTTTTTTTTATAATTAATTAATAGAGCACATGGTGCATGTATCCATGAGACTAAATAGTTGAGTCTAAAATATGCTTCACGGTGAATATTTTAAAATTATTTTCTTTCATTTAACTGTAATCATTTTCCACCAAATTAGGTAAAATATTGTGAAATTTCTTTTTTGATCATAATATCATCTTTAAATAGGAAGTATAAACTCAGTCGAAAGGAAGTATTCTTATTAACCAAACACTTTCAATAATTTTATTCAAAGCCTTGATAAATCAATAGACAAAATTAAACTGAAACTAATAACTTAACTATACTAAAAAGTCATGGTAACTCATATATGCTAATGGTTTTGGGGTAATACAGTAAAATAACATTATAATACGTTTTGACAGGATTATAATACCACCTCCTAGGTGGTATTGAAATTGACTTAATAGCATAGTTATTAGTATCCTACAATACGTGATATGTATCGTACGATACGTCACGATACACAGGTAAAACAATATGAATAAGAGTTTTGTATCGTTTTTGTATAGTATCGTCCGATACATTATACTTTTTTACAATACAATACGTATCAGTCGATACAAATGATACGTGAAGTCTCTGTTTAATTTAATTTAATTTTTTTTTTTTTAACGCAACAAATCGTTCATAGCCTCAGAAAATAGAAAAAATGTCAAAGAAAAGGTAAGAGATGAAGACAAGAATTACCGGTCCACCAAACTCACAAATCAGCAAAAACACCCAAGCAAAAGCAAATCAAACAAATTTTTGAAATTAGAAAAAATAGCAACATTGACCTATAAATTTCGGATGAAATCCTAGGTTGAATTTTTAACCCAAACCTCTCTGTCTCACGATCTGCGACCACGAGCCACCAACCACCAGGTATCTTCTTCTTCTTCTTCTCTCTCTCTGCGGCACCGGCATCGCCATCGCCATAGCCATCGCCTCTTCTCTCTTCTCTCTTTCTCTACTGTGTTCGTTCGTGGGTCAAGAGAGTCATGTGCAGATATATATATATTTTTTGTTATAAGTTTGAAAATTACATTTACTACCCCACTAAATTATAACTTTTTACTTTTAAGTATATATGAGTACCATTAATTTAATTTGATACCCTTTATTATTTTTTTAATATTAGTAAATTATATTGGTGACTTGAATAGTAGGTGAAATATTAATAAAATGTTATGTTTTTGCGAGTCTATGATTTTTTTCAAAAGCATATATATTTTATTATTAATTATTTAAAATTGCGCTGTATCTTACGATACACGATACGATACGATACACTATTTTTAAAAAACGATACACCTTCCAATACACGATTTGACAACTATGCTTAATAGTACTAGTAGATGGTATTACAAAATATATAGTTGGTGTATGTGATTTATTACTATACATAATACCGAGCGATTTTTGACATCCAAATATTGTATAAGCCAGGATTAGAGTAGTTTAATCCTACATGACTCTTTAATACTCTCTATAATATCACAACCAAACGAGCTCTTAGTTTATACTCCTTAAAGATTCATTAGCCACAAACACATTGTCCAAATTTTGATGCCCCTTCACAAAAGCACTTTTATTCGTGAAAACTGTTTCCCCCAAAGCCTCATTTAATCTATTGGATAAAACCTTGGCCAAAATTTTATACAAACGAGTAACCAAGCTAATACATATAAAATCCCCAATCCTCAAAGAATTATGCTTTTTTGAGATCAAGCATATGAATGTTTTATTTGTATTCACATTAACCACATCATTCCTAAAGAATTCACTAAAAATTCATTGAATTAATCTTCACCACATCCCAACAATCTTGACACAAAGCCATTGAAAAACCATCGAGGCCAGGGAACTTGTGTCTACAACATTCAAAAATAACATCTCCCACGAAATTACTTTGGACCATTTCATCGAACTCACGTCATGCAAATAAAGGGTGAAATTCATTAACAAATAAAGGTTGCTGCTGTTGATTTCATCCACTGATTGGCATATTTGATGAATGCATGTGATTATAAGATGCGGTACTTAGCACTGCCATCAAACAATTATGGGGCAAAAATTTTGGATATCTGCATTGCCATTTTGTTTTTCTTTTGTTGGGTAGAATATATGGTAGAAAGGGTAAGAGGAAGAAATAGGATAGGTGCAAGAACTTGTGAAAGAGGGAAGAAATGGGAGAACCCCTGAAATACCTAAAGGGCTTTGAATCCACAAGTAGAGAATAAAGCGAAGGAAAGAAATGGTAGAAACCTGGAACCCTCTAGGAGAATCAAATCCACAAGGAGAAGAAAGGGATAAAGGAAAGTAGTTCCAATGGAGAGAGATGAAAATAGAGTAGAGAATAAAGGAGATACGGAAGAGAAGAGGAGAGATAAGGAGCGAGCATACTAACTCTAAACATCTTGGGACTGTCATTTTGTGTAGCAGCTTTGAGGCACCTTGATAGCATCTTCCAAACCCTATAAATATGCTCAAATTACAAGAGTTGTCCTCCCAACTAATTATTGTAAGTTTGTATCATACAAGGCCTTCAAATTCACTTTTGAACATCAAAGTCTATCTTATAACTGAAAATACATGGTGCAATACATTCTTACACAACCACATCATATGAAATTATGCCACATTTGAACAAGTCAATAGATAACGAATGTTCTTGCAAAGGTTTGGTGGAAGAAATGGTAAACAAATCAAAATGGGCTAACTAAGGAACTGCCTAAGATCAAATGGACCTTGAGTGCTACCCGTCACTGGTTCAAAAAAAAAGCGTACAACCTTTCCCAAAGCCTAGCTTGACAGAAGAACACAGGAATTTGTGCCTGCTCAAATATCTATTGTTGCTTGGTTGCTCCTACAATGGTTGAAAAATAGAGGGGCCCCATTGAAAACAAGGAAAACACCCTACCTTCTTTTTCTTTTTTTTTTTAATTTTATTCATTTTTTCCATTTTTTTTGGGGGGAGGGGGTCATTAATGGGGTTGGGTTTTCAACATAATTCTTAGAATATGGAGTCTATTCAGGCGCTGGTGACTCATGAAAATAGGTTGTCCTACACTTTCTTGATAATAATTCTAAAAAACCTCACATGTGAGCTCCAACTAGAGAAAAGTTCAGTAGACAATCTTAATGGAGTAGGCTTCGTTGTTCATGATAATAGGATGTCATACATGTCCATGGGTACTTCAGTTTCCTAGAAAACTTCCATGTGAGCTCCACAGTTAAAAGAGGAATACATTCATGTTTGATCTGATTAATATATGGATTATGGAGATCTTTTTTTGTATACTCAAAAACTGGACTTCTACTAATGCCGTTTGAATTTGATATCTCAAAACCAGGGTATCGATATTGTTGTTGAAATTTATACTCTTCCTTTGTAGTTATTCTATGCTTCTTTATTTGCTATGCGTCCCCTGAGACTACAAATCAGCTGTTGATATGTATGCATATTCTGGAAAATCTCAAATGAAGTTTGTGATGATCAACTTGTTTGCTTATAAGACCAATTGAATTGTTCCAATCTTGCCATATTTTTGTGGACAATTTTGGTCATCTTGTAGGGGTGTATGATGGCAATTTCCTAGTTATATTGATGAAAAGCTCAAATGAAGTTTGTGATGATCAACTTATTCACTACATAAGACCAATTGAATTGTTCCAATCTTGCCATATTTTTGTGGATAATTTTGGTCTTCTTGTAGGTGTATGATGGCAATTCCCTCTCTAGTTGTATTCTGATACTAGTACCCTGGCTGTATAACAAGTCTATTTCTTTTACAAAACTTCTTCATGCTTTCATTCCCTCTTTTGTTTGTAGAATTCTTGACTAAATAACTTGCATTTGTATGGATTATTATGCCTAGAATGTGATGCCAGGGTTTTGGTTCCCCTGTTTCAGCTTGTTTTAGAGGGATTGCGAGCAAGACAGCTGCAGGATGCTCTACTAATGGAGAAACGAACTATGGAAAGGAAAATTCAGCAAGATAATGCGTCTGTTGATTATTTTGAAATGAAAGCTGCAAGGATGGAAGATCAGGTTGGGGATCTTTTCTTCTTCCCTTCTGTTGGATTTCACCAACATATCAACCAGAGTTCATGTTTGTAATTGGGTGCAACGTATATCACCCCCTCCTTCCATCCATCACACATTTCCACTTTGGAGTTCTTTGCTTGGCTGCTCATACATCATGTTTGCGTTGGCTTTCTTGTTTCAAGATAAATATGCATATTTGAACAAAAAGAATGAGACATCCTTAATGGAAGGAGTACAAAATTTATTGGGCTTGGTCACTTTTTGACATATAATAAATTTTGGCTCACGAATATTGAATCAAATGCTCTTTCTTTGCAGTTAAAGATGTGCTCAGATCAAGTTCAGAGGATTGCACAAGATAGGGTTCAGAGTTCATCTAGTTTGGACAATTTCCAAAAGAAGTTGCTAGATGTGAGAAAATCATCTGAGCAATTGAGGGAGTCTCTAGAGGAGTCCCAGTCCAAAGTTGGCAAAAGTCGAGCGAGTCTTGCAGAACTGCAGATCGAGCTTGAGAATGAGAGGTGGTTGAACATGAATTACTTCTTCTTTCCTGTTTCTGAGGACCTATGGTATGATTCCATCAATTTTTCTTTATCAGGTTTGAGAGGAAAAGAATAGAAGAAGCGTTAGAAGTTTCGAGGAGAAAGGCTTCACAACTAAGGTCACAGATTGAGGGATCATCAATAGTTGAAAAGCTTCAACAGGAAGTCAGAGAGTACAGGGAAATACTCAAGTGCAGTATTTGCCTTGACAGGCGAAAAGAGGTAATTTTTTATTTTATTTTGATATTTTGTCATGTCTGGCAATTGCTTAATTGTTGAAGACTGTAGCCTTTGCACCATTATCATTTTGGGCAATGGGGATGCTTGGGGAATGGAAGTGGAGGGGTCCATCTCTCCTCCTAGAATTTGTATTGAGGAAAAGCCAGGATGGCATTAAAAGAACTTGAGAGCAGGATCAAGTATAATAGTGAACAAAGATTTAGAGTTGGCCCGTTAATTTTAGTAAGTTTGGGTGATGCAAATAGTCATTTAAAAAATTCTGTAGTTCTTTCTGATATTGTTATGATACGACCGCAAAAATACTACATGAATATGAAGTCATAAGTTTCTTCACTGTTTTGATTAGTGAAAAAAATGCTTACAATGATATGATTATCACCACAAAGTACCAGTTGAATATGTATTTTGAAGGATTATGACCTTGATAAAAAAGAAAACATGTTACATTTAAAACTTTAAGTCATCAAAATGTTAGTGAACTCTTAATGTTCTAATTATTTTCATGTCATTTGTATCCATATAAATGCATAGGGGGTACTTCGGAAATTTATAAATTAAATAGTTGATTACCTTCCATGGAACAAAGATGGGTGCTCACAGAATATAATTTAGTAGAAAATATTAAATTATTGACGGTCAATAAATTAAAGGGTCAATTGTATCAGCGGAACTGGTTGTAGTGCAAAGATGACAGAAACAACATTGGTTGTGTCAAAAGAGATAGTTATGCAACCTCCTTTACTTTAGTTCTTCAATTCTCGTGGCACTTTTTTTGAGGAGTGATGTTTTAGTTTTCCATGACATAAATTTAGGTAGTGGGAACTTCTCTCCCAAATGAAACTATTACATGACTGTTGCTAACATGGTTAAAATTTGTCCAGATTGTTATCTTTTCCATAGTGCACAGATGATTCTGGAACACTTTCCCGAACAAAAACACGTTTCTGGTGGTTGTTATGTCGAAACTGTTCTGAATTTCCTAATTTATAGCTTAAAACAACATGAATTTATATACCCTTTAGAAATGTCGGAGATTATCTATTAAATTCAGATTGTGGATTTTCTTGAACATTCACTGTATTAATATGGGTTTACATATTTCATCTGAAGATTACTTACTGAATCTATTATAAAAATTCCTGTGGTGTTGCAGTGAATTATTGCTATTATGATTTCCTTTTGAAATTTGATGATGTAAGATGTACATAGATAGATATGTTGCTTTCCAATTCTAAGGATTGTCGCCCTTGATATTAAAAGATGTTAAGTTCGAGTATGGGAAGTGGGAAAATATGCTCACGAAATGCTACTTAGGGGCACAATATGAAAGAGTTATTTGCGATATGTTTCTGTCATTGGAAACAAGCACTTGAACGGAAGTAGCTGGCTATTATGCAAGCTGAAGAGGGTTGAAGCCCAAAACCAGGTAACTTGATTAGAAGTTGGTAAGATTTTAGTGAAATTTTATGAAGCCCCTAATTACAGCCATTGTGCGGTTGGTTGGACCAGCTTATCGACTTTGGAAGCCTGGGAATTTTTGGTCTAGAGGGAAATGAAATTGGATTTTATTGGGGTTATTTTTAGTTAATTTTATTAATTGTTGGATTACTTAATTAGGGAATATTTGTTTAACTAGGAGTATTTTAGTAAATTTGTAGCGAGAGTTTGACTAGGAATATTAACTTGGTGAGTTAATTTTGTTTTGGTAGGAGAATATCCTACAAATAATCATCTAATCCCCTATTCTTTTGATTAGAGTGATATTATTAAGTTTTTTTTTTTTCTATGGGGACTTTGTATGTTTCTTGACCTAATTGTTGGGAGAATTTAGTGTCTCATCTGATTTTGTCTTCTTTCCTTCCCCGTCTGCATGAATTGGTATCAGAGTCCAACTTGGATCCATCTTCATTGTGCTTCCGTAGATCTACTGTTCACCCCCATCACTTTTCTTTCATTCATGTCCTAAACCATTCCTATTCTGCTACTAGAGTTTCTTCATATTGTAGTAGTTGTCATCGATGCAGCCACAAATCCGTTAGCAGCATCATTATCATTGCCTTCATCCAGTTAGACAGTAAGCTTTGCAACTTAAAGTTTCGAATACACTTCAAGCAGCATCATAATCATTGCCTTTGTCCAATTAGGTAGTAAACTCTGCAACTTAAAGCTTTGAAACACTTCGGTGGGTCACAATAAAGAAATCATATAGATCTGTCACTGCTTTGTTGATGCCTCCATGTTGCTTCTACCTCCTTTAACTCTGGAGGCTAGGGCTTCAAACACATCATTGCTGTGACCTGTGAGAAACAAAGCTCCAAAATTTGGTCTTTGGTTAACCAAACTCGATCCAATTTCTTTTCTTTTAGGATATCCTGATCCATACTGACCCATTAATATTACCTGTCCAACCTTGCTTGAATTTAAGCCCAGTCTGTTACCTAAATCTGATTCCGAGAAGTGAAAAAAAGGAATACTATGAGGCCCCCCAAAAAAAGCCCTCCAGAACCACCCCTAAGCTTTTGAAAATTCTCCTGGAGCCCTCTGATTTGTTGAGATTAACAGATGCCCCCAAAAGTTTCAGAAGTTACATATCCACCCAATGGTTTCCCAAACTCCCCAAAAGTTGTAAAAATTATTGATTAGCAGTAGGATTTTCAGCCAATTTTCAAACCACCCTTCCATCAAGATGGTTGCCAATTCCAAATTAATTTCCAGATGGAATCATTAGATGCAAGCTTAGATATGCTTGAAGCATCAATTGATTTAATCAAATAATCAATTGATTTAATTGTGCAATATTTGTTTAATCCACTTGTGTGGGAAAATCAAAGATTGTCTGATATTAATAAAGGGGTTAAACTAGGGGTTGGTGACTTCCATGAAGATAGCAATCTCGAGATATTCCTTGATTGACTACAAAGTTTGAAGAGCTTCTTTAGGTGGTATCATTTTATAGGTGAGAAAATTGTGTTCTTTTCTAAATTTTAATTAAGTGTATACCAAGACTTTGGTGTGTAAAGCACAAACTAACTCACTTTCTGTCAATAGATCATGGGACAACATGAAGAATGCTATGACTTGATACTTTCTGCATATATAGGCAACGAGTTCATCTATAGTTTACTCAATTGACATAGAGAAGCATGTATGTTGAGTAGTATACAAGAAAATTCTATGGTCTGGCCACATGTTTAGTGTTTCCTTGGATTGTGGATGTAATGATTTCTATGTGAAGGATAGATATAATCATTAGTGAATGACATGGGGGTTACACATGTGGTTCTAATACAGGCCGAAAGTTGAACCATATCTGAAACCATATCGTGTATTATAGATTAGTAATAAACGCACATGTGGTTACACCCGGATAGAGCGATTGGATGTACATCATTGACCGAGTGAGTTTATCCATAAGTACTTTTGTTCTTTGGTTTTACTAATGGAAGACTAGGAATTTTTGGTCCCAAAAAATTTAACTAGTAATTTTATTATGATTCTATAATTTATGTTATTTATGGATCATTTAATTAGAGAATATTGTTTTACTGGTAATTGTTTCATAATTTTAATAATTTATAGTTTGGTTAGGAAACTATTTTGGCATTTTAGTAGGAGAGTAAAAAGTTGTTTGAGTGGGACATTCAGCCTATAAATAGTGATGTAATCCCATGTTTTGGTCAGAGTTACAGTATTAAAGTATGTTTTTTTGTGGGGAATTTTTTTTTCTTAATCTAATTTTTACACATCTTCTCTTTGTTTCTTAGGCCACTAGTGAGTTATAGACATAGTTCGAAAAAGTCAAATCTTTGATGATTACATCATCTATGATTGGCTTGCAAAAATTTTTGGATAGGTATCTTACATCTGAACCGAATTCTTTCTAATTAAAGAATCTATTTCTAGTTGCTCTGGAACAATTATGATATTCTTTAGAAGAAATACAAGGTTTTACTTTTTATTGGGTGGTGGTATTATTTATGGGATAAAATCAATATGTTCTAAGAAAAAATATTTAAATATATGTCTCATCGATCTAAGTATCATACTAAATCCCATCAATTGAATCACTTTTTTGAGAAATACAAAGTCATCTAAATCATACAAGTAAAGAGATTTATTTATTGATAAGAAAAAGAAAAAACGTGAACGGGGATTGGATTGACGATAAAATAGAATCTTGGGTTGCGAATAGTGATTCGATTGATGATGAAGAAAGAGAATTTTGGTAGCTTCCACATGCTTCCTATTTGTTGAAATTGATGTGAATGGTCGTGACAACTCTTCTGATCCTATTTAGTCTTATTAGATGTCATTGAAACGAAACAAAGTGATTTTGTTTTGTTGCAATGTTCATTTCGGATTTCGAGGATGAGCCGACCGATCCTAACATAAGCCTCTTCCTCAGAGAAAGATGTCTTTGATGCAACTCTCCCGGTAATAACCACTTTTTCGATTGTGATTGTTTTGGCAAGTTCAGTTAGGAGGGACAAAAAAGAGATGCTTTCTATCAATCAAAAGCAGATACTACCCCCGATCCCGTGCTTCCATGATTCGCTTACCGAGGAATAAAAAGGAAGGACTTAGGGCCAGAGCAAATTGGGTTGGGGTATAGAGCCATAATTGCCGGGGGGGGGGGGG